AAGGTGAAATGGATTGCTGTGTGTGAATGCCAGTGGTGTATCTGTCCTGTGAAGTGATAGGACTGTTCTGTAACATGATTTTGCACTTTTTCATACGTTGTCTTTGCCAGGAACAACTGTAGGAAGATCTTCATCCACTCCTGTTGCATAGCAGTCCCAGATATTAGTGTTGCCAGTCCATAGCTTTCATGTCCAATTCCAGCTGTTTCCTGCTGTTGAGGCTCTCGTATAGAAACAACATCAGGGTATGAAAGGTGACAGTTGTTACCTTATTTTCAGCCAAATGGCTCAAAGAGCAGCATGTGGAATTAAGATCTGAAGAAAGAAAGCAGGCTCATTTTCAGCAGTACAGTTTCTTCAAGAGCCACCTATAGCTGTTAAAACCAGCTAAAATCGGGAGTCTTATTATCATCCCTGTAAACCCTCAAGTGGTTTAGATTGCTGTGCAGTTGGAATCTCTTGTCCTGGTATCTCCAGCATTGCTCCTCGAGTGCCCCATCTAGCAAACATAAGTCGCCATTAAATCACCAGTTTCTGGTGGCACATAAGAGTACTCTGTTCAGTCCAGCCAGCCCATTTGGCACAGTTAATTGACCCAAAGATCTTATCCAGCTCTCTGGAACCAGTGCTAGAGACCCCTGTACTGACTGGACCAGGGCTCTCTGGAACCAGTGCTAGAGACTCCTGTACTGACTGGACCAGGGCTCTCTGGATCCAGGGCTGGAGACTCCTGTACTGACTGTACCGGGCCTTTCCAGAACCTGGGCTAGAGAAACCTGCTAAACTCAATCTTTGCTCTATGGTGGTTGTTTAGATCTGATAGATCCGCTGTAAACTGCTCTCTTCCCCTCTGGTTCCTCAGCAGAGCAGGATGTCCTTATCCAGCCTCTGCTCGGGATGCTGTGTTGCTGCTGTGCGAAGTGTTCAGTGTGATGTCTCTCTTGCTCCTCTAGGGAAGGAGCTGAGCGACGCGTGTTCAGCGCCTTTTACTTTGCTCGAGTGCATCAGAGACATGCTCACTGCAGGGTATGCAGTGCACACGTCTCCGATGCACTCCAGCAAAGTAAAAGGCGCTGAACACGCGTTTCTCGCTGACTCTGTCTGGGTCTGGTTAAATACTGTATATACACATTATACCAAAGGCACAGGGACAGGGGGCATCAGAGTCACTATACAATTACAACAATCCCCTTCGCTTGCCATTTCTGAGAAGCTTTCGGAACCTAGGGTCACCGGAACCGACCTGCGCTCTGTCGTTTCCGTTCTGCAGCAGGGCCCGTGCGCGACTCCCCTGGCGCAGGCTGATATTCACGCGCGCCCCAGCCCCGGCTCTGGCGCCCCTGCTCTCAGTGCGACTGTGTCATCGCTCTCTCGCGGGGTCGGCCTTGGCGAAAGCAGAGGGTGGGGTATGGACTGGACTTGAGCCTTCACATGGCTCCTTGGAACGGTTAAGCGTCGAGTCCGTTGTGCAATGTGAACCCCTCATCTCGGCGCCCCTGGGATTTCTGGGAGTTTATTTTTACGGATTTAACGGCGCAAATTCAGGAATCATGGAAAGCAATGGCTTTGCAGGAAGGGATGCAGCATATATATATACACCCGGTTGTGTTGATACTAGAATGTTAGAACAAAAATAAACGTTAAATCATTTTTTCCCTCAGTCGAGTGCCTGTTTCTTTAAGAGCTGGGTTGCAGGTTTGCTTTTCAGTGCCTGACTTTCACCGTCTGCCTCCACCTGCTCCGTTAGCTGTCCCCACACGTCTGCTGGCAGTGCTGCAGGCTGAACCGCCAGCTGCGCAGATGCCCAGGAAACCGTTTTCCGCAGGGAAGAGCAAAGCAGGCAGCAAACGGGAGCTCTTCGGGGTTTTCTGTGGGACGGGAGTCACCACCAGGGGGTCGGCGAGGGGACGTTTTGAGTGTAGAAGATTTCGAGACTGGAAACAGGAGGTGCTCCTTTACAGGGAGAGTGGTGGAGGTTGGGAACTGACTCCTAAGTGACCTACTTGAAGATGACCTGGTGTTTGTAACTTTTCTGACATTTTACATCGCCATAGATTTATGCATCTTAGTGTGAACCTCCTAGGGTAGGAGTTAAGGGCAGCAAAGAAGTATGCGTATGAGTATTATTGAGGGGCAACATGGTGGTGATATGGAGTTCTGCTGGTGTGGAATTTGCATTTAATTGGCATGTGGCTTTCTTCTGGTTGCTCTGCTGTACTCCCACATACCAAAGACATACCAGTAGGGTAACTGGCTTCTGGGACAATTGATTCTGAAATGTGTGTGTTTGTAAAGGAACAACAAGTTTACTCCATGCTGAAAAGAGAAGAAAACACAACCTTTCGGCTGTAGAGCCTTCTTCGGGTGGCGGGTGTCTGGGTGCCCTGTGATGGACTGGTGCCCCATCCAGGGTGTTCTCTGCCCTGGGCCCACTGCGTGCCACCATCGACTGCGCCCCTCCCCCCACGACCCTGAACTGGAAGAAACAGAAAATGGATGGAATATTAATGAATTAACGGCTGCTTGTTACAGCCAGTAGTATAGGACTCACATGATTAAGATCCTATGGCTCAATGAAGTAGAGGCGCTGTGCCCAGTGTCCTGTTCAGATTCCGCTATGAGCTTGTGCTGTAGCCGAGGACCATAATAACTCAGTCATCCCTCGACACAGCTGGTGAGGCGGCTGCGCGTCGCCCAGCTGGAGACCAAGTTCAAGTCGGGTGCTGCGTCAGCATGTGTAGGCTGTGAAGGAACAAGTAAAGGTTTACCCCTGTTCATTCACACCTGAAAGAGGCCCCACGGCAGAGACGCTGTCTCTCCTTCTCCGCATGGAATAAACCTTTAAATCTGAAGATTGAGTTGGTTCCCTCCTGTACACAAACGCAATTCATAGAATTGGCATTAAAAATGCAGAATAATATTTGGAAATTTTCCACAGCTCTTGGGAACTGCACATTTTAATTCGACTTTATGAGTTTTTTTACACTGTCCTGGTACTGTACTTTCTCGAAACTTTAAAGCGTCTGCTGTTTCCAGATTTACTTTCCTTGTTAACCACAGTACTTGTGAAACATACTATTTTGTAAGTAGGAGGCCGTAAGCCGTGTGATTTTCAAACCGCAACATGAGTGTTTTTTTTCGTCGGCCGATCACAAAATCTCCAGGGGCCACCGTGCGCATGGGTACAAGTCGCCCCCGCCCTCCCCTTCTCGGGCACTCCCTTTAAGCGCCGTGTTTCCGGTGTCATTCAGTCAGTCCACGATGGCGGACCTCCTTGGCTCTATCCTGAGCTCCATGGAAAAGCCTCCCAGCGTCGGCGACCAGGAGAGCCGGCGGAAGGCCCGAGGTACGACCCGAATCGCGATTTATAACCTTATAACACCTCTCGGTAACTCTTACAAGGGCGCTCTGTCTGCAAATGAACGGAAATGTATTAATGTGGCACTCGAAAGCCGACCCCCACCAACTGTGGTCTCCTTCTCTGCCTCTCCGAGGAGAACTGTGCGCTCGCGGTCTTCATCCCCTCCTGTTCTTCATCACCATTGGCCAGGGCCTCTGCCCCTCTGCAGCTCCTATTGGTCGACGATGCCGTCAGTTTTTTTCCGAGGTCATGAATATTAACATACAGTTTCTGGGGCCGTTTCAGTCGCTGCACAGCCGAGATCTGATTGGCCAATCTGAGATCCCGGATTTAAATATTTAAATATTCAAGAGCCAATCTGTGAAATCTTCTGTGTAGTATGCGGTGCGATTTATTTACAAATTTTGTTTTTTGTAAAAAAAAAACAATTTTCTGTCTATTTAGTAAAAACAGAGAGTAAAAAGTAGTA